GGAAAAATATTGGGAATGCGCGTTAGCGCTAGCAAACGGACAAATGAAATCTCATTGTCTCTCTTTTCTACGCAGCTGTTTCGTTCTTATCGTCTATGCGTCTGTTTGTTTTCAGGAGAAAATCAATGCAGGAAATTTAGGATCCTTTCTCGTTTTTTGCATCAAACTGACAGAGGCAATTCTCGCGCGTTTCAAGACCGCGTTAAAAAACCACACGTTCGTTTAAAGGTGCAGACGAACGATCCCTTTAACATTTCCAATTTTCTATCGATATTCGTGTACTTGATGGCGACAAAGTAATTTGCTCGGTGAAATTAAAGCGAACTTTATACGTAAGTGACAAATCAAATTTCTTGTATCTTTCAAGTAAAATGGTAATAAGGAATTAGAAGGTCGAGTCGCGTTTGAAAAATTCACCGGGATTATTATAAATACCTGACAATTAAGAAACCGTTTAACGCCATCAGAGATGCGTTATCAATAGCCTTTCGTGGCGATATCCCTAGCTAGCCGACGCAAAAGCGTTCTGTCACGTTTAATGGAAAGTTCAGTTTCTCCCTTGTCTGCTGATGCCCGAAGGGTACGATAATTTTACGGGTCATTTGCATAATACCGTCGACCAGTCACGTGAATCACTTTGATAAGCCCAATATCAACGGTTTACGCTCTATCCGTTCGTCTGTTTCCCTGTACTCTGTACGCGATCTTCTCCACCAATGGCTTCCATTTGCCACTCGATCCCGCTAAGCACTGCTGCTCGTATGTCTTCACTTTTCGGTGCTCTAGGCCGTGCTAATTTTATAAACGTTTGATGAAATTCGCTTCGAACGTTTCTACTTTCAGCTTCGTTAATAACCAATCCGGCGAATACCACGATATTTTTCAAAGATTGGAGATTCGTCAATTCTCTATTCTACTTTTCTGCTTCGCCTGTTGTATTAACCGGTTGGTTGCTTCTAAAACTTTGAAAAGTTTGTACGTAAAACGAGTGGCAGGAAGTAAACGACGACGAGTATACTCAGGAGCAGCTAACTGGTTAACTTGAGACGTCGCGTGGAGACGTTCGATGGACATGGATTTTTCGCCCTAAACGAACATTTTATCGCTGTCCGTGACACGTTTCAATGGGAAAGAATTAGAGTCACAGGCAAAGGTTGGAGCAAGATGTAATTCCATTAAATTAAACAGAGCCGGCAATCCTCGATAAAAGTATGGAAACGGTGGGACACGTGGAGAGGCGTCGACATCGGACAATAGGCTGCATTTGCATTCAGAAACGATAAATGCAGAAAGGCAGTTCGTGACGGCGCAAATGTGCGTCGCAAGGTGAGGCGGGATTGCTTAATAAGCACTTGTTGCAATAATCGGATGAAAATAAAGCTGGCGGGTTGTAGCGGTACACGCGATGTAATAACCTACCTACCAATGCGATGCCTGGCCGGCTTTAATTTTGACATTCTCCGATGGAGTTGAAACGAGGTGTGCTCTAAATCCACAATATCCGTCCGAGTAGCTCCCCGAACATGGCATAATAACATCAGCTGCTACAACTTCAATAGAACGCCGCAACGTCCTTGCGGTGTGCAACCCCTTCCATCCCCAAACGACGGAACTTGAGTTTGGCAAATTGGGTTCTCGACTTACAATCAACCGCATTCCGCAAACGTGTAACACGTCCGCCTGAGCGCACAATTCCGAGACACTATCCTTCGAAATATCGAGATATCGCTGTTACCTTGAGCATCGACATCGACGCTTCCTCAACGTTTCCACCTCGCTTCTCCCATATCTTTCGTCTATTCGTCGCGACTGGAACGCGACTAATCGTATGCTCGAGTTTAGAGTTGCTCGGACGAGTAACGTTGAAACACGCGAATCGAAGAGTAGATCGTATAGAGAGAAGGTACGTGCGAACAGAAATTTGGCGTTGCTGAAGAAAAATAGTATTAATTAGGATCCGATGGTCGAGGCATCGACGGAATCGAAGGCAAAGAAGGCAGTTCTCCGCACGAGGGACGAAAGTATGGGAACACAGCTTACGAAATTCATGATAATACGGCAACTTTGGCACGGCATGCTTTTACAAGAACTTTCCTAACGTAAACTCTGCAAGTTCGTTAGAAGACAGTAGTGTACACAGGAAGAATAAACCGTGGGTTCGTACGAAAATAAAATTCCAATTTCGATCGAGGCGAGCCGAGTCGGTTGCAGAGACGATAGAAAGGCGCGTGGTCAACAGGAAACGGAAAGATTGATTTCACGAGTCAAAGACGAGCCCCGGCAAGTTAGTTATCGGTAAATGAGCTGTCGCTTAAAAATGCAATTTTCCACGACGCTCCTAAGAAAGTTCGCCTCGATGGAATTTCCAGACACCTCGTCCCCGTCGATCTGGCCACGGATAGCCTGGATGGAAACTACCGCAAGACGCGATGATGTCAACGATGCCGACGAGATGGCGGCAAATTTGTTCTGTTAATTCGGCCCATGTTTATTTTCCCTAAACTAATAGCCCGGCGGGAAAGCAGAATAACGTGTTCATTAAAGAACGCGGATAATCGAGTTTCAAGTTTTTAAACGCGCCACGATTTCCCGCTATCACGATAGTTCCGATATATTTGAATCTATATTCGATCGTCCCGTAAGTAACGCTAAGATCTTTTTTGTTTTTTTTTTTACTGTTTTAGTTTTGCTAAAACTTTAGCTCAGAACAATGGGAGATGTTTCTATCGGAGTTTTAAAACATTGGGATAAAAACCGAATAGGGAAGGGTAACAAATTGTAAAAAATACGGGAAAATCCATCGCTGATCGAATCTCATCCGATATGTAAGCAACAAAGACTACAAAACTTGTATTCGGAGCTGGAGCTTGAGTCCGAATTATTTTGAGTTTTCATGCTGCATCGAGCATAGATTAGAATTGCGCGTTGAAGAAAATATCCTATCTACCCTTATGTATAATAACAGTTACGATTAATAACGTTGTGAAATGCTTTGTTATCGGAAATTGTAATGGCGGAATTTAATTTCATCAGACCCGAGGGAAGTTTCATAATTATATTCTATAAACTTTTAATTAAGGGCACGCGTTCTCGGTTACGCGATATGCAGGTACGGATTCGATATTCAACGTATGTTCTTGCAAACCGTTAAAAATAGATTAGCGGCGTTCAAAATACGATCGCAACGTAACGTAAATTCTGTTGCTAATAAATAACATCGACAAGTTTTCATTTCGTTTCCATAGCTTCTCCATTAGCTGAAGTTCCATTCCACTTTTCTGCCATATTATTTCGTTTTTGTTGCTTCTAAACTTGTTCGTTTGATCGTTGCGCGTTGTTTCAGCGATAAACAAGGTTATTAATACCAACGTGTAGAGGTTGATTATTTTAATAAACCACAGCGATGAGGTAACGCTTTTCTACGTTGTACGCGTTCTTTGGTAAAATGTTTAATTACTAATTGCCGGTATAACGATTAACAACGCGATACGAATGTTTACACGATCGAAAGGCACGAATATTCCTATTTTGAAAAGAAAGATTTTACTCTGCAACGATTTAACGATTCTTTCGTTAAATATTTCCAAAGAAACTGTAGTTTCCAAAAGTTGCAGCGTACGCGCTTGAAAAAGTACGTTTCGTGGAACAGATTCTTGCTAGGATCGCATGTTGCATAAGCATCGATTTTTAAGTCATCGATTCCTCCTTCAGCGATACAATTTATGCAAAACACGGTATAGTTGTATATGGCAAATATCCGTGAAAATACCGTTTCGAAATCAGCCGCAGATAGCGAACGGTCGCATAAATAAGCCGTTTATCTGCATTTTTGAATAATTTTGACGCCTTGTTATCGCGGCAAACGTGTCCTCGCTATTTCTTACGCGATAATCTCTCGCCAACACCGCCAAGCATTTTTATCGTCAAAGTTGTTACCGCGTAACAAAGTTACACGCGAATTGCTGCTGGATATTAATATTTAAGCGGCCAAGTTTAAACACGTTCGTGTTACCTTTTACACGCACGATCTTAACGATTCTTCGGGTTACGAATATCGTCAACGGTGTCTCGTTATGCTCTGATTACTAAGAATTTAGCTATTTTTAACAAAGATCGGTCGCGAGCCCTTTAAATACCATTTTTCGACTCTCGGTTATATTCTCGTTAAGAGGAAACTTCGTCGACTAAAATACTTTGCAACTCGAGTTTCGCCGTTTCCAGTTCATGGAAATGAAGAACGATGGTTCGGCGTAACTCGAGCTAAATGGTCGCGTCGTAATGAAAAATTGTTCGAAACATCGGTAACGGTTCTGTCGCGTCGAAATTATTGGCAAGTTGCCTTCACCAGACTCTCGAGAATCCTCGGTGATCGTAACTCTTTTATTCATGAATCCATTCATCCTATGGAAATCAACTAGACCGCGATAGCGGTTAAAGACACTTAAGAATGCCCGGCTGGAATAACTCTGTCTTTCCATAATTGCGAAAGCACTCGAAGCTTCTTATCTGCCGGTGTTCCACGACTTTTTACCGCGTGCGATGCTGCGAATTCCTCGGATAACTGCGATCCTCGTTTCCACAGGTGCAAAAAGCCTCGCGTGCGAGCCACTCGATCGAAAGCTTCTTCGTGAACGCGAAACACCTCGAATAAGACGTTTCGCCGCTTTTCCTCGCCTTAACTTCCCCTCGAAACCCGCCTTCGAGGGAGCGTTAATACGCCTCAGAAATTGCCATCAGCTCGTTGACTGCCAAACACCGAACCGTTACGATCTCACCACGCAACGTTACGAGACCGATCGGTAGACCGATCTCTTTTGGCTTCCTCGTCGATGGATAAGATAAATCACTCGCAATTTCGAATCTCGCGTACTCGAACAGCCCTGACATTTTGAAACAATTGAGAAACATTTCACGAGAAAGTCAGGCGTGTACGAGTTCCGAAACAGCTCTAACAGCCGTCGAATCCTAGCATCTTCGATAAGGGATGAATGCAGACTCACCTATTTGGTGCGAGAGGAACGTGACGAGAGGCAGCACGGCGTACAGCCATCTTCCACGACGATCCTTCATACTGTCGATCTTTCTTTCTTTCCTGTCTCTGCGCTGATCCTTCCTCGTCCCTCGAACAACAGCTACGACGAACGTGAACACACTTCGATCTCTTTAACAGTTACTCGCAGAGATCGTGGTATCATACGATGTAATCAGGACTCGGATACACCCATCTCACTTTCATCCTTTTGCCCCAGTTTATCTGCGTTCCATGTGCAAGCTAGCATCCAGAATCATAACTGATTTCCAATCAGTTCGTCTTCCACTCTTTGGATTCACTGGTCGCGCGAACGAATATTTGCGAAATACGCGACGACCACCGATTCGCTGTTAGACGTGGCGTCGTTGGAAAAAGCAACGTTAATGGCGAAGAAAGAATGCGACGCGAGGACGCGAACACAGCATCGGTAGATAAGGATTTTACGAATCTATCTGGTGCTTTCCCCTTGGTGATCGAGAAGACGTGGATTCGAGGAGGGATCGTATTATTCGTCGTGCACGTGGCTTGCTTCGAGCCAGGATTTCCACGCGTGCATTATCGATTCTTTCTATTTGTAAGCTTTTATCGACAGTGGCTGTAATTTCGATCCCCCGAAGTTTTAATATCGCGCGACGATCGGCCTCCCGGGGATTAAGCTCTTTTGCGCGTGGAAACCGCTATTATATCTGCCCGCTATATCCTTCGATCGGGATTCGCATCGATCGTAATTCGAGACAATTCTCTGCCGCTTTAGCCGGTTTACAAGCCGACTCGCGTTTTCCTCGATCTTGCAATCGCGAGAAACCGGACCATTGGTTCAAAGTTTGTGCGAGAAATCGACCGTGATCGCTTCTCGCTGCGCGAACGAATCTCCAACAACGTTGTGAAAAGCGTGGAAAGACGAAGAAAGAAACGGCGCGATGGCACCGAGTACCTGCCGGGTACCGTTCGATGTGTGTTTTTTACAGTTTATGTTCTCGGCTTGTGTCCTTGCACGTTGTCGCGAACAATCGGTACAAATGGGCGTACAAATGGGTTCTTCCTGCCTGTCCATTTAATTCAACCTCTGAGGGAAATCGTGCACTCGTTCGCGTTCATCACACGGTCCGAGCATGGGCCATTAAACGAGCGTCATAGGGCGCATTAATCGCACGGTAATCCGCCTGTCTAGCCTTCGTGTTTCATCGCCTCGCTGTAACGTTTAAGCGGTTGATCGCTGCAACTTCTCTCGTTCCGCTGCAGCCTCCCTGAACCCTGAAAAATAACGAAACGACGAATTATTTGATAAAGTTTGTCCTTCGATCGAACATCTTCGGCATCGCAGCGATTAAACGGCGATGAAACGCGTAATATCACGCTTCTCTCTCGCGCGCCGACGAGAAACAGCTCGAAGAGTACGAGATATCACTTAAAATCGATTTTTATTCGTTTATCCTTCTTTTCTGCAGTTTTGCAAATTAAAAATAGATACTCTCACCCTTTGTGTCAATCACGTGACAGTTTTATCGGATATTTTTAACAACGTATCAGATTTCCGATAACTGCTACACCGTTCAACTTTACGCCTATCAGCTTCCATGGTATCGGCTAGCAGGCCAGTTTGGCCTAAAACTTACTCGCTAAATCGCCGCGCGATATATTCCATCGTAGAAAGTTTCCAATTTAAAGCCTCTTCCTATGTTCTTGCTTTTAGAAATATGTACATGAATCGCGGACAGCGAAAGCAAATTCACGGTATACGTTAGCAGGGGGAAATAATAAAAACGCGAAGCGCAGACTGTGCGCGGCGCAAACTACTCGACACGTGGAAAAATACAAGTAACAGGAAGAGTAGAATAAACACAGCGCAACTACGATCTCAAGTAGGCGATGTTCTTCGACCGGTTCGCGATCGGTATCGATCGTTACTTTCTAAAAGACGGTCGAACATCCGTCAGTTTCTCTGCCGCGAAGCAACGTTTGTCCACACAACTGACCAGCTCTGCTCCGGATTTACCCGCGTTTCGTCTGCCTGCCTGTTTCCAAATTTTAATCCAAATTTAATCGAAATTTTAATCAAACGCGTGTACGTACACGTTTGCTTAATCCTTGATTTACAAGTACAAGCTACGTCGTTTCAAATCACAACTTTAACTAACAATTTGCAATTGCAATCGAGCGTAACGTATCGTTTCGCGTCTCTACGCTAAGGTTCCATCGACATGGTCGAGATTACTTGAAACTTTTCAAGATATTTTCTACTATATCGCCACTGATGGCCACTCGTTACACCCGAAAAACATAGGATTCGCAACAACGCTGTTCAAACTATTATTTTCGCAATCAGACGAGCGCAGTAGGGTCTAAATCGATCGCACTTGTTCGCCTGTCCGACGCGACGAAACGAATCCATAATCGGGAAATGTACAATATAGGAACGGCCAGTGATTGGTACAGCTCGGCCAGAGTGCTTAAACCAATCTCGACAGTTAGAGAAGGCTGTTACAAATCCCATGGTAGTTAAGGCGTCTTAAGCGTCTTGTATGTATTCGTCCAATTCTGGACGAACGAGGTGTAATTGGGTCTTTCTATTCCCGTTGGCTAGACGATGCCAGATTCCAAGTTGCGCAGCTATAGTATCCTTGTCGTCTAGCAGGTGCACCGACAAGTCCTCGGGATTAAAATAGTCCGGGAATCACGCGTATAGCTCTGCAGTTTAAGATTGACCTACGACCCGATTACAGTCTAGTCCAGAGTACGGATACGACCGGGATTTGGACAACCGAATCGTTGCTAGCGGCTGACGATCCTCCACGCTCCGAGTAACTGTACCGTTGTCGGTTTACTCTAGGAATTCGGTCGCTCGGGACTGTCCTACCACGGAAACAACCGATTTTTTACATTTCCGGCGACAACGTGTCGCTCAGAACCCTCGTTTCCGTTCCGCGGGAAAAATCTTTGCCGCTCGATTTATCGCTGTTAAATGGAATACTATCCCGTGGAAACGAGAGACACGAGGTTTCGTCGAAAAATGTATACGCTTCTGGTAATTGAGAAAATCTGTGACGCTTTCTACAAGTACCAAGTTGGTATTTTGCATAAGAACGGAAGAACGCGGCAGTATACAATTATCGCGAATGGCGTAAGATTTGTCGATACAAGAAACAGCTATTAAAGCGAGCGTGGAGGAAGCTTTGAAAAAAGCAAAGTGGATACAAAGTATGTATATCATCAGCTATCGCGGTTTTTCCTGTCATCAACGTCTCGAACAACTTTCAGCAGTCTGCTGCTCAACTTCTTACGTAGACCGGTTCAAATTATTAAGCGTTGAGAGCAGTTTCGCTCGGATATACCGCGACCCTTTCTATCGTCCCGGCTATGTTACGAGATATTACGTTGAAAAATTCCCGCGAGCCGTATACTTGAGAGGAATCGCGATGCTCGGGTTACTTAAGAAAGAAGCTACAAATCTCTTAATCGTTGCGAGATTATCCGTGGAAGCGAAGGGTCCGAGCCGATACGAAACCTTGTTCGAAGGAAAACCATTGTGGGTAAAATCGGTGGTTCCATCGCGAAATTCATCGACGTACTAATTTGACGACTGCAGCTTCCTCTTAGTCAAATAATCGTGACGCTGGTCTCGGTATATTGTTAAGCACGACGCATAGTAAATTGGTTTCCTTCGTTTCGAACGACGTTTAGGTAACGCGTCACAAGGATGGACACGGAAGTTGCATCGTTAGCAACAGCAACTGCAAGCAACAGTTTCGATGCACGTCACAAGTACACTCTCGTTGCTCTGAAGCAAATTGTGCGACAAAAACGCAGCACGGCCGACAAGTTGCTAGGCTCTTGAAAACAAGGTAGAGTTACAAGTAGCTTTGCACGAAAAATAAAGAGACGTACTAGAGATATCGCATTTGGCACGCGGAATTTACCACACGCGTGATATAATCTGTCGGAGAAGAGTAAGAAAAAATTGTAATCGATCTTGAATATAGATCTTTTTCTTTGCGATTTCATTATACGCTTGATGTTTCAGAGAACAGAATACTGCAAGTTCAACTTGAACTTCCAATACGTACGATATATATACACAAATTGAAAATGCAAATTTCTATCGTACGTTCTATCTATCTATCTTCTTCTACCGTACGTACGTCCATGAAATTTGTCAAAAATTTCGATCGAAAACCTATCTATCGGATGAACGTTTCATGCGCGATACGAAGTATACGTATTATATATACGGCGAAATTATAAGGATAATGATCTCGCAGAATGCAGGAAACGAGAAGCCGATGACGCGCAAGATATTCGAACAGATTAATAAAATGAAAACTGTACCCTAACGACTGAGAAAGAATTTTGTTTGTAACGGACATTAATTAAGAACGAACGGAACATAGTTTGTTCATCGCGTGAATCGATAGATTTTGAATTCTAACAACGTGAAATAATTGCCACTGTGTTTTTAAAAAATATAACGATTCGCACGTATTTCGTTTTATGGGTGAGAAATTTCAGAAAAAATGTAAAATGTTCGCATTGGCGATTCCTCCGTGTTTCGAAACAACCTTTCCCCGTACCATACTTCGTGGAATCTCGTATTATAAATTGCAGCAGCCAATAAAAGAAAACGAAAAAGGGGGCACGAGAGAAACTTTCGAAAGCTTTGCGTAAACGCATTTCGAAACTAAAAGTTTTCCATTAATCACAACCCGAGCAGAATTTCAAAAACACGATATTAATTTAGCTTTTAAGGTGAAGTTGCGGCCTTTTGAAGTTAATCGTCTAAAAAAAAAAAAAAAAATCTAAAAAGAGCGACGTAATTTAGCTAATCGTTCAGAATTTTTTAAAACGAGTCCTTATAGAAAATTACGCGTTATTTCGTTCATTGATAACCATTTGGCGATATCAGAGGATACCATGCGAACGAAACGCTTCCATCTCGCAAACTGAACGAGCAAATTACTTTTCGCGCGATATTAAAAGTAAGTCGCTCTCGCCGGGTATCAATTTTCCGAAATCGAATTCGACGAACGCCAGCCTCTCGCTAGAACAGCTTCGAAGGAAACATATCGATCATCCGTGTACCACGCTAGAAGCTTCGGCTTTTCGTTCTATCGTCAATTTACATTTCATATGAGACGTTAAAGACAATTCCGTGCCATGGATTAACAAATAGCTCGAACAGCATAAAATATTCGAATTTTCGATCGACAGGAATATCGGAGCACTGTCAAAGGAACGTCCAATTACGAATAATAGACGCGCGAAGATGCGAAGGTAGAATAGTGCTGCGAGAACGATAAAACGATATGAATGAAAAATTCGGCATGACACTGTAACTCCTCTGATCACTTGATCGTCGCACTGCGTTAAATCCAAAGAGCGGTATCTTTCACTTTACACTTAATCGAACAAACGATACGTAGCGTCGCACAGACTCGCGTGACAAGTAGGTACATTTATTAACCGATCGCGACGAAGGACGCGGAATAGTCCATTCACTCTCACCGTGAAAAGTACGTTACCGTTGTGTCACTGTGCATCACACGATCCCATCTAATCTGACAAGTTCAAGGAGGGAACGCTGTTACAAGAGATTGGTCCGTCATGTCGCGTAAATGTTTCGTTTCCCGACCAATTTTTCAGCCATTTCTTACCCTAATTCCACCCAACGGCCATGAAAATTTCTCTATGTTCCCTCGTCCTTTCGCATCTTTCCATTTTCATTCCCGTTTGGACAGCGCGTAATAAATAATTATTTAAGCTGGCCAAATATATTAGGTACGCCTTATCTTTCGATGCTCGTCCCCATCTTTCTGCTATCCCCATTTCTCCTGCCTTCCGACACATTTTCTCTTTTCCTGTAATTCTCTTCCCTCGTGGTTTCGTATGTCCCTTTGTGATTAATTTAAATTCATAATTTCGCTGGACCAAAGTCGAATTTTGTTGGAAGCAACCGAAAAAAGTACGATGGAAGGCTTCTTAACTATCGTCTCGACGAACAAGCGCAGACGTTTACGCAAAATGCTTTAATTACGCAACGAGAAAAACGTTATGGAAGAGCATAATTTTTTGTCTAACGACGAGTCCAGAGAAGTTATGCAATTCTCATCGTAATTGTCGAGTTAATTGCGTTCCGACGAATTCCTACCGTGGCGAGGAATCTTTGTACCAGCAATTTGTTATTTCTATTTTTATCGATTAGTTTAATTGAATTTATTTGTTTGAACTACGTAGACTCGACTTTAGTCGGACCCAATATA